GGGAAACCTCGTCGCGAAGAGAAAGCCTCTCGCGTAAATAGTCGGTCTTACAAAGAGACAACACTCTGTGGGTCATGCAGCACGTCAACAACCTGCACATGTTCCTGCGGGGTGCTTCAACATGATCACATTTTTTCAAACGGAAAATGAAACGGATTGTGGAGTTTTGGAGACGTTGCAACCGATACATGTCTTCCCGAGAAATGCTGTTGCCATATGCAGGAAAGCGGTAGTAAAATACTGACAGTATTAGTGACTGCACGAGCTGAAGTTTTGCAGCCTCAGGCAACAAGCCTCTGAACCTATACAAACCTCTTAGTCTCTCTAAGGCTCGCTGGGAAACAAAGATGACATGATCTGAGAAATTCAGGTGCCTGTCAATCACGACGCCAAGAGTCTTTGCCTTCTCACACACTACCAGACTCCGGCCGTCGAGACAGACAGACACTCCAGCATCTCTCAAGGTCTGCACTTGTCCCAGAGGCGCTGTATGGAAGACAGTGCACTTATCAGGGTTCAGTATGAGCCAATTGACAAATAACCTCTTGGAGATGCACTCCAGGTCAGCGTTGAGTTTGTCAATTGCTTCTTTAACGAAAACAGGCTCAAAAGACAAGTGCAACTGAGAATCATCTGCATACAAATGTGCCGTAGAGTTTTGTACACAGCTAGGGAAGTCAGCTGTATTAAGTGTGTAGAGGACAGGGCCCAAGCAGCTGCCTCGAGGAACACCCCGTTGTTTGACGAGGGGTTTTGATGTCTCATTTCCAAGTCTAGTAACCTGCAGTCGGTCGACGAGATACTATCGAATCCAGGTAGTGGTTTCATAGCTAAATCCAAAATAGTGCATTTTAGCAATCAGCATATCATGATCCATTGAGTCGAATGCCTTAGAGTAGTCAAGCATAACCAGTGAACTGTATACCTTTATCTTTGGCATCTATCATATCACTAAAGAGATTTGTCAATGCAGTACAGGTGCTATGGTTATTTCTGAACCCTGACTGACATTTAGGTAATATATGATTCTCATTAATAAAATCCGTTAGCTGATTAGTAACTAGTACCTGGGGACCGAGCTTTGCTATCATTCCCCCACTCTGCGATGCCAGCCTTTACTACTTCCTTCACCATTTTCTACGTCATGTACTCATGTACATGTTTCCATCCCTTCTCATAGCATATCAGTATTTCAATTGCAGATACATAAATCTAACTGTTACAATTGGTTTCCAGGTCCCAGACTCCACACTGCTAGCCTTTACTACTTCCTTCACCTCTTCCTACGTCGCTGACCTGTTTCCCTCCCTTCCCATTGCATTTTAAGATTGCAGATACCTTAAAATCCTCATAAACAGTTCCCACACTCCGGACTGCTCGCCTTGACTACTTCCTACGTCTCGGACCTGTTTTCCTCCCTTCCCATAGCATTTTAAGAATGTAGATACCTTAATCTAATCGTCATTAACAGTTCCCACACTCCGGACTGCTCGCCTTTACTACTTCCTTCACCACTTCCTACGTCACGGACCTGTTTCCCTCCCTTCCCATAGCATTTTAGGATTGTAGATATCTTAATCTAATCGTCATAAACAGTTCGCACAGTCCGGACCGCTCACCTTTACTACTTCCTTCACCACTTCCCTCCCATCCCATAGCATTTTAGGATTGCAGATACCTTAATATAATCGCCATAAACAGTTACAACACTCCGGACTACTCGCCTTTACTACTTCCTTCACCACTTCCTACGTCGCGAACCTCTGTTTCCCTCCCTTCCCATAGAATTTTAGGATTTTATAAATCGTCATAAACAGTTCCCACACTCCGGACCGCTCACCTTTACTACAGTATTTCCTTTATCACTTCCTACGTCACGGACCTGTTTCCTTACCTTCCCATAGCATTTTAGAATTGCAGATACTTTAATCTAATCGTCATAAACAGTTCCCGCACTCAGTATAGCTCGCATTGACTACTTCCTTTACCACTTCCTACGTCGCGGACCTGTTTCCTTACCTTCCCATAGCATTTTAGGATTGCAGATACCTTACCATGCTTATGGAACAGCTGAAGCCTCTTTTATTGTTAGTTCTGTCTGGTTTTCTGTAGATGTCGTGTTTTGTTTACAATTTGTTTCTATTATTTTAGGGTTAGTTTCTCATTATTTGAGTCTCACTGTTTGGTTATATAGCCAACGATAGTAATATAGTACAGTAATATAGTGAAAGAGTTATAGTTTCTGATTAAATAGTATTATTTGGTTAAACGAGGTTTTAAATTACTGAAATAACAAGAAACATATTGTAAACAAAGCACGACATCCACAGAAAACCGGACAGAACTAACAATAAAAGAGGCTTCAGCTGTTTCATAACGATGGGTCATAACAGATCCCACACTCCGCACTGCTAACTTAGCCTTTTCTACAATGTATCGAGTAAGCTTCAGTATAATCATTGCTCAATAGTAACAAGTGATGTTTATGCCTTTGTACTGTATTTTGTAATTTCTAGTATACTGTGGGTAGATGCCTTTATGAACATTACAACTTAAAAGTCTTTTGTTTACCTTATCCTCGTTATTTAATTCAACCATCATGGTAAAGCCCCCCACACACTACCAGACCAGACCTCCAGACCAGACCGTCTGGTCTGGCGTCTGGCACTTGTCTTATCGTGTGTGGGGCTGTCTGCAGACCGATTTTCTCGGACCAGACTGTCTGCGTGTCTGATGGTTGAACCCTCAGACCACAGACGGTCTGAGGTTCCCCCACCACTATTTTTGTCTGGTCTGTAAGTGTGTAGCGCTGTCTGTCAGACGGCCGACCATCGTGACAGTCTTCATCCATTTGTTGGAGTTCTCACCACCGTCTCAGCCGTCTCTCAATTACGAATGCTAGACCGTCGGGTCTGGGAGTGTGTAAAGCCGGCCAAGACGGTCTGGTTGCAGCCAGACGGTCTGGTCTGGAGGTCTGGTCTGGTAGTGTGTGGGGGGCTTTACTTAGCAACCCATAAGACTTATGTTAAAAAAATGTGACTTTCAGTTTTATTTTTCTACGTAATTAGATTTTTGTTGGCAGTTCTAACTGCAGTAAACTTGTTTTTAGGCCAGGAATAAACTATTTACAACATTTGAAGAAAATCGTCGGAGCCGTTTTCGAGATCTTTGTGCAAGCAAGCATACAAGCAAACATTGCTCATATTAGAATCTAATAAAAGTACCCGGGGACCCCACTCTTCGAATAAAGCCTTTACTACTTCCTTCACCATTTCCTACGTCATGGAACTGTTTCCTTCCCTTCTCATAGCATATAAGTATTACAGATACATTAATCGAACTGCCACAAATGGTTCCCACATTCTGCGATGCTAAACTTTACTACTTCCTACGTCGTGGACCTGTTTCCATCTCTTTCCATAACATTTTAGTATTTTAAATACATTAATCTAATTGCCACAAACATTTCCCACACTCCACACTGCTATCATTTACTACTTCTTTCACCATTTCCTATGTCATGGTCATGTTTCCATTCCTTCTAATAGCATTTCAGTATTTCAATTTCAGATACATAAATCTAACTGTTACAATTGGTTTCCAGTTCCCAGACTCCACACTGCTCGCCTTTACTACTTCCTTCACCACTTCCTACGTCGCGGACCTGTTTCCCTCCCTTCCCATTCCATTTTAGGATTGTAGATACCTTAATCTAATCATCGTCATAAACATTTCCCACACTACGGACTGTGTGTAGGTTAACTAAGGGAGTATGTTTAATCTATGGCTATACCCAGTGATACCTGATGGGAGTCTGTTTGTTTCTGTTTGTTTATGCTAACTTACAGACGACAGACCGCAGTCATCAACAAAACAAGATGGTTCTTCTTCTTTAGTGGCCAGTCTTTTTCGTTTGCAATATTATTAGACCAAACACTCACATAATTCATTCCAATCCTTGGGTTCTTCATCCATGGGCCTCCTTTTCGGGATAGAAATGCTTGACAGCCCTCAAGCGAGAAGACTCCAACCCATACCCCTCTCCCAACTATCCCATCACGGCCTTAGAATCCTACTAAATCCCATCCATTATCTTGACACAACAAAAAACAAAAACCAAAATGAAATTTGCCGCCAAACTAAAACAATATCCTCAACAATTCCATGTCAATACTAACAAAAACTTACTTACAACAAAATTCTAATGAAAACCACAGAATCGTCAAATAAATTAGTGCACAACAAGGCTGCATATTATATAAGCCTGCTTTCGAGCAAATAAAAGATAAAAAAAGTGATCACTGAACCGTCACTGTCACTGTCACTCAGATCAGACTAGTCAGTCAGCCTGAGCCTGAGCCTAGTCAGCAGTCAAAGTCAGGTATTTACTCAGGGGAGGTATAGAAGAGGCTACGATGACAGCTGTGGGCTTCTTATTAGCTGAGGGAACGCCATTAGCGTAACAATACGACCTGAAGCCATTGGCCTCGGTCGTCTAGTGGCTAGCGTGCCGGACTGATATACTGAAGGTCCCGGGTTCGAATCCCGCCGGTAGCACTAACTTTTTGTCCAAGATTTTTTTATTATCAGCAAGTTTGGTTGGTTTGGTTCGGTTATGACAGTTTAATTTTATTATTAAGTCATTATAAAATTTTAATTGAGCAATTTCTAGTTTTTTTTTAAACAGAACTATTTTTTCTATTACTAAACTTTTGTTATAGGCTATTATTTCATTATCAGCAAGTTTGGTTAGGTTACGATAGTTTAATTTTATAATTTAAAATTAATAAAATTGAATTTGAGGCATTTATAATTTTATTTTATGAACAGAACTATTTAGCGATTAGTGCTTCATTGCCAAAGTGCTCTCTACTACAGCGCTGTTCACGGAGGAATTTTGAACTAATGCCTCAATCGTACCTCCCCTAAGTCAGACCCGTCAAAGTGGGTACTGTCACTGTCAGTGTCAGGAGGTGGAGGTCAGAGTCAGAGTCAGACTCGAGGACTGACTGAGGCAGGCTGTGTGTAGACGATTGTCTTTGCGATACCTTCATAGTTAATTCGAATATTATTATAATCTATACACTAATTTTCTTACTGTTTTTATATGGTATGTTTTGCTTAATAGAATATTAAAATACTGCTAAACTGCTATTAATTAGGCCAGGCTTGTTCATACTAATCTAATAGTCTAAGTATGATTTTAGTAACATATTATTAATTAATAGGGCAACCTTATTGGTAGGCCTATAAGTCTTGATATTTTGAATAAACCTAGCCCTTAATTTAAATGATTTAAATCGATAGTGGGTACAGTTTCTTAACTAACTGGGCTATGCTAATATTGATTGAAACTATCGATTCGATTAGTAAACCTTCATGGATTTTTTCACCATCAGCAAGTTTGGTTGGTTAGGTAAGGTTATGATAGGCCTAGTTTTATTTTATCTAGCCTATATTTAAAAATATCGATAATCAATCAATATTTTCAATTCAATAGTTTCAATCAATATTAGCATATACCAGTTAAGAAACTGTGCCCATTTAAAGTTTAGCTGAATATAAATGGTTTTGTCAAATAAATTATTGTTTGATACAACAGCTCTAAACTATAGGCTATGGTAGGCATAGAAGTTGAATTTGGTGTATAATTTACCATGCCTTTTACACTCCCCGTGTTTTCAGCTATTTGTAGTTTTAGGTTTTGCTTTCTTCTAGCCTATATAAATAATTGTGACTCAAGGAATCACCCTGGAGAAGGCATGCCTTTACAATTGAAAGACCTACTTGTTGAAGAAAAGGAGTTGTTTGTTCCTCCCTTAGAACTTGTAAACCAAGGTTTGTATTGTATAAGTTACTTAGTATATTTATTATAGTATAATATTTATAGTATATATAACTTATATTTATTTAATAAATTGGATTTTTGTTACCATATATTTTCTGTTATAGGCAAGTTAACCTATTTAAAAAGGAAGAATTAGTCTAAGTCTCTATATTTTTTTAAACAGTTCAGAGGTCCCTGTGCAATGTTATTTTTGGCACCACTTTATATTTTGTTTGTCAAAATCACTGTTAAGGTATGTCTTTAAGGTAGGACCTAAGTTATGTATAGCCTATTTGTGTTAGGTAAGTTATTCGTTAGATTTTCTAAACAAATTAAACACATTGAGCAATAAAGTAGGTTTAACACGTTCGCTGCGGGCCATCAAATGGCAGGCGTAGCCCCAGTTCGGCGCAGCCCGCAGCGTCGAACAAACCCGATTGCCGGGTGATTGGCTCTCATATTTCGGTAGGGGGAATAGCAAATAAAGTGTGGTAATGTCCTGCTTTATAACAAGAGTCAACGTAGTTCGCTAAACACTCACAGATAGCAGCACTGCTTGGAACGTAGCCGATCCCATTGTATTGCCAATTGGAGGGAGAATGGCGGGACAACAAGTTGATTTTTAAGTTTGCCGGACAGGGATTTTATGGGAAAATTTTACTACCAACCTACAACACAATAAATACCCCCGCCGCAGCAAACCTGCAGACTAAGCGAATTTCCATTTGACTGATTGGATTTACACTGAAATGTCTACTTAAAAATATAACATTTATTCTTGATTTAAATAGAATTAGTTTAACAAGTACTTAGGTTTGCTGCATCAGGGAGAGTAAAACTGTTTTTTTTTTTTTTTTGTAAAATGTGAATAGTTAGTAAGAAATAAAAACATTTTCCAAATTTGATCAAAATATGTTCACAAACAAGCAAACTACAACAGTTTACTTATTCTCCATAAGAATAACATGGGAATTTTAAATTTACAATTTTTTGGAATTTTCTCCGTAACCATTAGGCGCATAATAACGCTTCAATATACTAAATTATTTGTTTTTTTAAGCTCTACAAAATGGTTTGGAAAGAAATTGCTAAATTTGATGTTTTTTGGGTCAAAAATGGGAAAAACCTATTTTTACCCCATAAAACCCCCCATAAACCCCCGTTCCCATGGTCCGATCATGCTGGATCGCGAACTCATTCGAATAAACGTACTTTTACACGTTTGTACCAAATTTCATCAAAATCGGATCATTTTTGCTCGAGTTATCGTGCTGACGGACACATATATATATATATATATGAATTTGAACGGATGGTGTTTTTGGCCTCTAGGGACCTCAAAACGAAAAAAAAATCGGTCCCGCGTCCAGGTCTTACCATGAGTACTGAGTGAAAATTTAAAAACGTACGTTTTCAGGAAACACACTTTGCAAATTTTTTTCCCCTTTTTTCAAAACTTTTATTATTTTTTTGATTTCATTAACATTTGAAGTTTCATAAAATGTCCATGGTAACGCAATATCTTTGGTAGTTTTTTTTTAAAAGAGCATCTTTAGTGGAAAAACACAAAATCCTGTCACGACCATAACAGGCGTTTAAATGAATATTAAAAATAGTTAATATTATTTTTATAACTATGTTTTGCTATAAACTAATTTACTTTTATGACCATTATACATTAAAAAGGTCACTGAGCTTTTAGTATATTTGGTCTTTCTAGAAAAAAATAAAAAACTCAAAAAAATTGAAAAAAAGCCAATAATATCTTTTTAAGTTTGTATAACTCCGAAAAAACTTACCTGAGACCCGAAAAATCGTTATGTTTGCATAGAGGCGTGCTTCTTTTGTGTATAAAACATTGAAATATGACGATATTTTAATTTTTGAAATTTTTATGACAGAAATCATAAACGTGATGGTCAGGGACAAGCGGTACGGTCGTGAATTTTATAAAACAATCTAAATCTTTCTAAACAATCCTTTAATTTATACTATTAGTTATAATAAAAATATGTGTTTTAATTGAACTAAACTGTTCAAATTACAATTATATTAAAGTTATTGTCACGACCAAACACACTATAATCCATAAGGCTGGATAGGTCGTGAAAAAACCCGCGATGGTCGTGAAACTTTGGTCGTGAAATTACGTGTTATTTGGCTCTGTTCTGGTGGTAGCTCTGCACCTCATGTTCGAGGATACAAAGTGGACTTCTAGGTTAATCTAGCAATTGAAATATCTTATAAACAAAAATTAACACCATGTCTACTTCATCGAATGACTATGTACGGTCATGGACACACCAAAATTACAAAAAACACAACCTTTCCTGTATTAATCTTGTAATTCCTCCTTTCAACTCGAAACGACCGGCACTACAATCCTGACGTACACCCCGACCTAGTCTCTAAAACCAACTGACTCCATCAACGCGAGGCTTGCCACTGTCGTGCTCCAAAGTTGAAAAATTTTCCCAAATGGTCGTGACGCCAAATCGAGGGACAGACTTATTATGTCATGGTAGTCAGTTTGCAATGACAATAAAATTATAATATGCTCCTTTTTTGTAAGTTTAATAACCATTGATGACATAAAAATATGGCTTTATATATTGCTGCATGAATAATTAGTCTAAAAACAGCGTGAAAGTTGGAAAATGTACCCTAGGGACACGTCATGGTCGTGAATTTCGAGACTTTAAAAATACGAAAAAAATACCTAGAACCTATTTAAAATCAAATAAATGTGTGTAACATGTTGCCCCCATCCCAAAAAATATTAAAACACATAATAATAAACTACAAATCCAGTAGCTACGAAGTAAAATGCCAGGGACATGAAAACGTACGTTTTTTAAATTTTCACTCTACTACGGTAATAGCTTATTCCCTATATGGGAAATTCGCTAATATTCCCTATATGGGAAATTCGCTAAAAGCAAGTCACCCACAACACGCTAACAAGGTATAGGTCCGCCTTCGACCAACGCTAGAGCAAAAACAAAGATATACGAAAGGCATTGTCGAGCGTATCCGATCGGTTACGGCAGCACCTGGACAGAGGCCGGCCTGTATCCGATCGGATACGCCCGCAGTGAACGTGTGAACTTACCGTATATTGCGTATATTGCCGTTATGTTGCTAGTCTGGAAAATAGGTTTTTACCGGACGAGTAAGTTTAAGTTATGGTTCTTCCCTTACGAGTATAGTAAACGCAATTTAGACGAGTGACGTACACTATTTTTTACCAAACTATACTTAACCAAACTAACTTATCCTGACAATTAAAAATCTGTACAAATCTGTTTACTCCCCCCGATTAAAGGACTTAACCATCACTAAGTTAAATTATTCATAAGAGGTACCGGTATGTTTTTGTTTATAACTTAATTACTTATTGCATTCTGGAACTTCTGAAGAAAGCAATTTACATCGTGATAAGACTAAAAAAAAAAATCTGCAAAAGAGCACTTAAAAGAAATAAGAATTATGACTATTTTTAGCTTATAAATTTATCAAATAGCCCTTTATATTAAATAAAACCATGAAAGATTGCCAAAATTGAACTCTTTTCATAAGTATTCAACCAGAAAAGGTAGTGAATTGTCGTTCAACAGACATAATTTATCGGCTTATGAAAAAAAACACAGCTTATTGTGGTGTTAAATATTTTAATAGCTTAGGCTACTACCTGATAATATAAAAAATATAACTAATTTTAATTAATTTAAAAAACATTTGAAATTATTTCTTACCAACAGACCCTTGTATAAATTAGAAGATTATTTAATTAATTTAAAAAACATTTGAAATTATTTCTTACCAACAGACCCTTGTATAAATTAGAAGGTTTTTTACAACTTCCTGAAATTTGATTTGTTGATAATAACAATATTCTCTGTAAGTAGTCTTAGGTTTAATATTGTGTTTTTATAACTGACTCTATTCTGTAAAAAATACCATTATTTTCTACGGCGAATGAATATTGACTAGGTCATATGAGGGTCGTCCAGGAAGTAAAGAACAAATGAGATCCCCACTACTGTACGTGCGTGGCCGCTTGCCACTTCCTTTCTCTTGAGTGTGAGGTGAGTCTCGTTACTGTGTGATCACGCTGTTTGTTTTTGAAGCATTTTATAATGGCAGCGCTAATCAAAAACCCCGCCAAATGTGAAGTACAGAGTGTAATCCGCTTTTTGAATGAAGTTAAGCCAATTGAAATTTATGCACATTAAAGCTGTCTGGGGTGATGATGCGATGAATGAGTCATCAGTAAGAAAGTGGTGCATTTTGTTTAACCAAGGAAGGACTAACGTGCATGATGAAGATCTGAGCGGAAGGCCATCACTAGTCACGGATAAACTTAAGCCAAAAGCTGACGAAAAAATTCAGTAAAATCAACATTTCACTTTGACGGCTTTACAAGACTCTTTTCCACAAATTTCACGATCACTCCTACATGAGATTAGTGACATGATCTTGGATACAAGAGAGTGTGTGCTCGGTGGGTGTTTTTGTGCTCGGTGCCTATGATTTTGAAAGACGACCTTAAGGCAAAACGCATAAGGGCAGCTCTTGAATTTTTGAAACAATATGACAAAGATGGAGACCAATTTCTTGATCGTATTGATATGGGAGATGAAACACAGGTTTCGTATAAGACTTCAGAAATCAAGCGTCAGTCAATGGAGTGGCATCACACATATTTGTCCTTAAAACCCAAATACCCACACGCAGCAAACCTGCAGACTAAGCGAATTTCCATTAGCCTGATTAGATTTATACTAAAATGCCTCCCTAAAATAGGCCTATCACATTTATTCCCTATTTAGGCCTAAATAGAGTTAGTTTAACGATTGCTTAGGTTTGCTGCAACAGGGAGGGTAAAAAAGTGTTTTTTGTTATAAAATGTTAATAGTTTAGTAAGAAATTAATGTATTTTCCAAATTCGATCAACATATGTTCATAAACAAGCAAACTACACCAGTTGACTTATTCTCCATAAGAATAA